TTCTGCCTTTGATATAGGTACAAACAAGTAGAGCTACAGTCTCGACAGAGACTTCTGGTTAAAGGAAGGATTAAGTTTAAAACTTTCATTCTATGATATGCAGTTTAATTGCATGAATATTTTGCATATGGCTGACAACATTGAAATTCATTTTGCATGAATAGACACGGTTCATGCCTTAAGTGGGACAAGGTTTTACTTTTGATCATGAGCACATACCAAGCATTAAAATTATCTTAATACATGTATAACTAAAATCCATGGTAAAATAGTGTAGATCAAATAGTGTTTTAGTTACATAAAAGTGGTTTATGTGTCGAGAATATAGAACTGATATTTTTTAATCTTTCACAAAATTTCTTCTCCTGGGTATTTTTTGATGTTTCTGTTTAACGTTTTTCATTTAATTTTGTTTGAAAAGTCAAATTCTACACACTCTTATTTTCTGTTTAATCTACGGTATATTATATTTTGCTTGATGAGGTCCTTAAAATAAAGAAGTAGGTTAGTTTGAAACTTTATTTTAAAGTTATGTAACATAAATCATTCAGTAGACGACAAATGGCCCGCTGAATAACAAAACAGTTTGGTGCATTGCCTTACAATCTTTCTGATCACTCTAGCATTTCTTAATCGTCCTCTCAGATGCTACCTGTTCTTTTGTGTCCCTTTTGCATCATATCTTTTTAAAAAACTTTTCCTTGAGTTTGTTAGCACTTAACTCACAAGGCATAAACAAATTCATAGGAACTACTTATTAACATTAAAGGGGTTTATATACCAACACGCTTGATAAATGGAGTCGCAATAGCATTGAGTTAAAAAAAAGGATCTTAACTCATAAAATGACAATCCCATACAATTTCTTTTATTTTTGTTGATATTTTGTTGGAAGTAAGATCTTTTGATATTGACTTTTTAATTTTATAAGAGATACTAAAAATTGGCAAAAATTAACATACAAAAAATGAAGAAAAATATTTGAGTTTGGTCTAGCATTGTTTACTGATCTAAATTTTGATCACTTAACGAAGACACAATTTGGAAATCGTTTCAGCTATCATGAAATTTTTCATGTATTTAATTGGTTAGCGGAAATATTATTAGAATACATTTTTCTATTTCTTTTTCTTTTTACATGTGATTTGAACAAATTGTGAATGAATATGGTGTCATATGTTTAATTTTCTTCAATCATCTTTTTTATTAGTCAGATAAAATTTAGATAAACCCACGTGAAAATGATAAAACCACTTGGTTTTATACTCTTTATATCAAAAGATGTTTTTAACAAAACTTTTGTTAATTTTAATTTTATGCTTGAATTTTAAACATGATTTTTAGCTCTACTGGTCAGAGACTGGTCAAAGAAGAGCTTATGCGATAGCAATGCGTCTGTCGTCCGTCCGTCTGTCTGTAAACAATTTTTCAAAATGCTACTCCTCCTACAGTTTTGGTCTGATTCTATATAACTTTGCACACAAGTAGACTACACAGCGATACATAATTATCAGTTTTGTGTTTTGACTTTAATGATCGATGTTGCCATTGTAACTAAAATTGAGAATGCTGTAAAATTTTATTAAAAGCTACTCCTACTGTTGTAATCTTATTGCAATCTTGCTACAAAAAGAGACTTAATCAAGGATCATTATTCTACGTATTGCTTTTGTAAAGTTTTATGTCCCAACTGCTACTTTTCTCTTCCTTTATTATAAGTACAAACCAGTAGAGCTACAGTCCCGACAGAGACTTCAGTTTTTTGTTTATATATTTGCAAATTTCCCTGCTTGAAAAAGCTAGGAAACATAAATGTACAAACACATTGTCGATTACAGTCATAAACGCATAACAAACGAAAAAAATGCATACTAATTTTACATACTGACATCAATCTTAATATCATAGGATCTATTGTTATATATATTCGATAAAGAATAATCCCTGTATTATCTTTACATAGAAACATTCAACATAATTGATATAAACACTTCCGAAAAATATTGACGGTTAGAAAATTGTCACTATAAAGCAGCAAAGAGAGTTTTCCCACATTTTCATTGACTTGGACACCGATTAGAGGATTGATTTATTATGATGTTATGATACCGTCTCGACTTCCAAAATATATCTTAAATCTTTATGGTACATGTGCACCTTATTCCTGTCAGTACGATTTGATTTACATGAGATGAATGAAGATAAAATCCTACGACGCTTTATTAGAATTCAGAACATTAATTCCAGGTTCAAAAATTTCTTTCAAGTATTCTTTGTGGAATTTTTTAAAAGAAAAAAGTTTTAATTTGATGTCATTGAGAATTCAAAAACTTTTTTCATGAATCTGCCCAAAGGTATTGTATTTAAACTTAATACAAACTATTTACAGATATTTGTACTTTATACTATTAAAACGTCTTCCTGAATCATGCTGTAGGGTGGAGTTTTGAAAATAAGAACTTTTTTCATTAATAAGAAAAATCAAAACTTTCCTAGTCATGACAGTATTTATTTTTTCAAATCCTTGAGATTATGCAATCTGTCAGATTGTAAATGAATATTTATACCTATTATAGTATGATTACACAAACTTTCTATAGAAGGCGGGATTCTTTGATGCATTTGCCTAGCAGATTTGCTATTCACTGACAGAAATTCATCTGTTGTTGTAAATCTTTTTTAAGCTTATCCTTTGGTGATGTACAATTTATTCAGACCAATTCCTGTAAAAAAATTCAAATCAAGTAAATATTTCTGCCTTCTAAACCTGCTTGAACACATTTTCACTCATATTAAATGTAAGTACATTAAACTAGATATTTTGACCCCATGATTTTTTTAGTACACGAGCAAAGGTTTTAAATCATGATAATAATCGTGTACTTTATATGAACTATGAATTAACATATTAGTTTAAGGACATATGATACAAACAAACTTTTGTCATTAAAATTGAAAATAACAATTTTAGTCATGTTAAAATGAGTTAAGTTTACAAATTTCACCGTGTAGTTTTTGATTTTTCATTCAAAAAACATTGGGATTTGAATTGAAAAATATTTGTATAGATTAATAAGAAAGGTATGGTTGCAGAAAGGAATGATTTTGAACATCATAGAAGTTTACAATTTCTTAATATTTTAAAAATTTATTATTTGTATCATTTGTAACAAAAATTGACCCAGAAATGTATGCCAATCCCGGTATCCTTTTTTGTTTTTATCATCTGTCCTTAACCTCTACAACTTCTATTTTAATTATTAAGACCACCCTTTTCGGATATTTCAAACTTATTATAAGTATGCTGTTAAGATAGGGTAAAACGGTACAAACAGTGTTGAAAACTGAATTTGCAAAATATACTCATTTATTTTTCAAAAGGTGACTCGTTCTCTGTGTTTTTATGTATTTAAAATAATTTTCATATATATATATATATATATATATATATATATATATATATATATATATATATATATATATATATATATATATATATATATATATATATATATATATATATATATATATATATATATATATATATATATATATATATATATATATATATATATATGATTTTCAATTTAGTTTTCCTTCAAGTTTGCATAATATATTATTTTTCAAAAGGTGAATGGATTTAGTTTTGTACTTTTGCTTTTAATGCTTTCTGTATGGTACTGTAATGTTTTGTTTTTAAATTTATTTTTATGTGTATTTTGTTTTATTCATAACGCAGATTTATAGCACATTATACATGTATCCATATCCTCCAAAAATACCTCTCATTTCGCTACAAAGCAAAAATATTTTGATTTAAACATAACAATTATATTTCGATTTAAAAAAATAAAAAATTAAAAAAAAACATCAAATAATTCCAAAAGTTTTCATATAAAAACTTTAAAAAAAACATTATCCTCATATTATGTAGATTCAAGCTAGGTCAGCAGTTTGGAAGGGGTTTTTGGTAGCAAGAAGGGGACCCATTTTTGTTTTTACGGAGAGATCCGGATGATTGTAAAAGACAGTCTTTGTTAAGTCGTATGATCTTAAGTCCTTATAAGTTATATTAAAATTGTTGAAAGTACGCTTTTTTACTTTGAAGACAACAATTGTCAATTATAGTTTTTATATTTCTACAAGTACAAAATTTCAGTAGCAAGTGTTTGTCCTAAAGTGAATGGGAACTAAGGTGAGCCATAAGGCGCAAGGACATCTCATTTACACTGTTTAATTGACTATGAACACTTCGACATGTCTGAATTATGCAATATAACCTTTTTTTAACAATATTTAAAGCATAACCTCAATGATTGAGTGGAAATGTCATCATGTTTTCTCATCAATTCAGTTCAAGAACGAGACTGATTAATGGACAAGGTTGCATGTACATGTAATGATATACATTGAATTATCTCGCGTCACTTAAGAAATGCTTAAAGAACTGGGACAGAAGTCATAGAATCAGACCGAACGTGTCAAAGTGGTTAAAACTAAACTGTAAAATACTCTTATGAACATATTATTGTGGCAAATTTACAGACTGACTATGAAAAACAACAATATGAATATAAAAAAAAACTTTTAAACGAATCAGAAGTGATATATAACAACTATTTGGAAAGATTTGTAACCTTTCTTAAGAATTCATTGCCAGTATGTTAACCTATAATGAACTTATAAGCAATATGTAAATCTTATAACTTATAAGCAACATAAAAGCTGAAGCCTTCATAGACTTAAACATGAAGACAGGCAGATGCATCTCCAGTTATATCGAAATGGATACTTATATGGTATTCATGAATATGGAGGTATATGGGCGGGAACTAGACAAGTGTCAATAATATCATTTTTAGTCTCCCGTTTAAATTGTTTTATTTACTGAACATATTTTCTTCCTTGTGATTCGCTGACTCTATTATGGTATGCTAATTGTTGAATAGTATTTTTTACCTCAATTGGAGCAGCTAGAAAAAAATTCCGATAAGGTCGCGGCAAGGAACTCCATCGAAATCAGTTTGCTTTGACCTTAGCCATGGCCTCAATGTTTCAACCTAGCAAGACATTAAAGGAAATTCGGAAACAGTTAAAACATTTAAACCAACAATACAGAGAGGAGTGTAAAATTCAAGAGATAGACAATACCTCTGAAAGAAATAGTACCAGTTCAGAGCAGTCTAATTTTACGGGTTTTCCCAAAAAGGTATGTATTCTTCTGACTAAGAAAAAAGCATTTTAGAATTCCTTAAAAATTAAAGTAAAGGTATTGTTTTTGCTTTCTAAAAATGCATATTTCTTTGAATTCAAGATAAATTAATTGTTATTGTATACAAATTGAATACGGACAATGTTTAAGTAATTATTAACTTTAAAAAAAAACAAAATTTCAGTGCAATTTTTACTTTTTAAATATTTAAATAACACTTCAAATGCTTAATTAGTACAACAGAAAATATCAAATTGAAAATTTTATTTATAGTATGTTTTTAATTTCATCAAAATATCGTTTTATTTGAAACAAAATAACATAAAAATAGCACTGTTTAAAATATTTGATTTATGATTAATTGCAGCCCGGAGGACCGGGTTGCTCTATAACATATAAGTTTAAGTCTTATTGTATGGGGATTGAGGTGGGAGAAGTTATTCAGAATTAAAGGTTTTCTAATCATTAAAAAGATTGTTAATCAGAATATTTTTTCCCTTTATAAATTAAGAGATACACAACATATTTACTTCCAGAAAGTGAATCTGTAAAATATGTATGTTTTTTCATATTTAATATATAAAGTTGCGTATCATTTACTATCGAAAAAACGACAGGTCCCTTTTTTTAGAACATCGAATTTTGCTTATCGCATAAAAATGTATCTTTACCCAGTTCGTGTTTCATATTCTCAAAGTGAAATATATTTTTGAAACAGGTGATGCATGTGTCTGATTTTAATTTAAATTTAATGCAGCCAACAGTTACTTGAGGAATTGATAAAGTTTAAAAGGGTATCGTTTTTGTTCGATTTTCATCCGACTATATGTTCTCAAAGTATTCTCGACTATCGTCTCCATCATTTAGATGCACTCCTTTTTCACACGTATCGAAGCGGTTTGATGACCAAGACTCATTTCCATTGTTTTCTTTATTTATTATCCGGGCTACAATTGATGGTTACATCAATGTTTTCTTGTTTTATTTATGTTTTAACAATATTTTCCTTATTTTTTCAATATGCAATTAAAATCGTTAGCTGCATTTCTCTATGCAAAATTACAATTTGTAATTTTTTTTTATCAGGTTTACGATTGCTAGTATGATCTTATAATGTTACATTAGATACTAAGTAGACAGTGTTCTGTAGTCTGTTATAAAACGGGACCTTTCAAAAAGATGTTTTATGGTTTGGAATCAAATAAAACGAGTAAAAAAAGTTGTCTTCGTTATGATTAACTTGTTATGAAATATGACCATTGCGTAGTATTTTTGCTGACTTACTTGATACCAATTGTTAGGCTATTTTTTTCATACTGAAATTGACTACGGAATGTTCCATTTATCTAATCAATACAGAGTCGATCAATTTAGGTTGCTTAATAACTTCTAATAGGGACCGGATCCGATTTCTTGAATGTCAGGGGTCTGTGTTTATGCTTTTAGTTACAATATACATGTACATGATTCTGGAACATTAAAAGTTAGTAATACAGTTAGTGGTCATAAAGCAACTTATATATATATTCACCAGAATATAAATGTAAATGCGGCATAAAAAGGTAAAATTTGGAACTATAAGCATGCAGATTTAGAATTCGTTAATGATTCAATTGTACAATGCGACTGGAATAGTCTTATTGGTGATACAGAAAGCATTATTACTGCAACAGCAAACTTCACAAAAAAATTTAGTTCTATTATTCACCAGTGCATACCCGAAAAAACTGTAACCATAAGGCAATATGATAAACCATGGATGGACTCTCTTCTAAAGAAAACTTTGCGTATTCACAATAGGCTAAAAAAAATAGCAGAAAAAACATAAAGAGAATCTGATAAGGAAAACTTTCGGAAGGTAAGGAATAAGTTTAATAATATGAAAAAAATGCTATTAAAAACTATTATGATATATTGATTCTCATCTTAAGGATGCTAGTCTGAACAATCAAAAACTATACTGGAAGTTACTGGAAGATACTTTTCACATTAAACCAACAAATTAAATTCCACCTATTCAGTTTACAGCCATAATGGCACTGAAAGTTTTGCATTTTCAGACATAGATAAAATAGAGCTTTTGAACAAATATTTCACATCCATTACAGAATTAGATGACAGTAATCAGGAGCTCCCAAATATAGTGTCAAGATGTACGGATAATTTTCCGCATATAAAAATACAAGAACAGGAAATCATTGATATAGTTTCTATTGTTCCTGTTAATAAAGCCGTTGGTCCTGATTGCATCAGCCATAAAATGTTAAAATCTTGCAAAGAATCTATCTCAAAACCTTTATGTATACTATTCAACAAATCCCTATCACTAACAAGAGGCCACCGGGCCTTATAGGTCACCTGAGTATCATGCAACAACTTTCCAACAATTGAATTTGGTTTGTGTTTTAAACCAGCTGAGGCCATGAAATCCACGATTCAAAAAAGCGCCATTGCTTATCATAATTATACACTTAGCAGTGCTTACTAGATAGTTACTTAATACCCATAGGTAGATCAGAGTAACTAAGAGAAAATGCACTTCCATTCTAAACCAGTTGTGCACCCCACCCCACAGGAACCACTGACACTGGGGCCACATAATAAATTTTGAAAATTTTATCATAAATGTTATTTCATCAAATGTGGTTGATTAATTAATACTAATAAGCAGATTTCAAAGCATTAATTTATTTTCAAACTATGTAAAAAGATACCCTTGACCCAGGAGGCATGAAATGAACCATTTTGCTGGACGCACCTTTCTTTATCATAAATATATATATTTAGATCATTGGCATAATACCCAATTTACAAAGGAAAAGATTTTCAAAGAATTAATGTGTTTTCACTATATAATCAAAAGAGCCCCCCCCCCTCCCCTTAAACCAAATAGAAAAACACTGAACAGGGGCCATGAAATCAAAAATTTGGTTTTCTTGGTCATTATAACTATATACTAAGTTAGTTTATTTAATACCTAGGAGCAGAGGAGAAAATTTTAGAAAAAATAATGCATTTTCAATATACATAATCAATAAAGCCCCACCCTAACACCAGAACCCCTGACCCTGGGGCCATAAAATTCACAATTTTGGAAGAGGCACTCTTGCTCATTATAACTATGTACTTAGTTAGTTTATTTAATACCCAGGAGCAGAGGAGAAAATTTTTGAAAAAATAATGCATTTTCACTATATAATCTATATAGCCTTACCCTAGCACTAGAACCCCTGACCCTTGGGCCGAGAAATTCACAATTTTGGAAGAGGCACTCTTGCTCAGCATAACTTTGTACTTAGTTTATTTAATACCCAGGAGCAGAGAAGAAGATTTTCAAAGATTTAATGCATTTTCACTATATAATCAATACAGCCCCGCCCTAACACCATAATCCCTGACCCTGGGGTCATGAAATTCACAAACTTGAAAGAGGCACTCTTGTGCATTGTAACTATGTACTTAGTTTATTTAATACCCCAGAGCAGAGAAGAAGATTTTCAGAGATTTAATGCATTTTCACTATATAATCAATAGAGCCCCGCCCTTACACCAGAACCCCTGACCCTGGGGTATATACAATTTTGAAAGGGACATTCTTCCTCATCATAACTATGTTCTTAGTTTATTTAATACCCAGGAGCAGAGAAAAAGATTTTTAAAGAAATAATGCATTTCCAATATATAATCTATATAGTCCCGCCCTAGCACTAGAACCCCTGACCCTGGGGCCATTAATTTAAAAAAATTTGGTAGAGGACTCAATGCTGATTACAATCATGCCAACAGTTTGACTGCTTGATGTCCAGGAGTAAAGAAGAAGATTTTTAAAGATTTCATTAATTTTAGTGCTTTTGGCCCCACCCCTCAGGCCCCGGGAGGGGAGGCGGGGACCATTAAATTCCCAATTTTTGTTCCCTTTCTCCCATAGATGCTGTATACCAAATTTGGTTGAAATTGGTTCAGTGGTTTCAGAAAAGAAGCTGAAAATGTTGTTAATATTACACACTGTTGTTACTGTATAAAAACGGAATATAGGTCACCTGATGACTCAATGTAAAAACATTTCCAGACTCCTGGAAACTAGCACATGTTCTTCCACGACCCTTCCATCACTTCAAACTATAGACCAGTTTCTTTGCTGAGTTGTATAAGCAAAATTTTTGAAAGAATCATTTCTAAGCATGTTTACAATTTCTTGTATTCACATAATATATATTATATATATATACCAGGAAGGTTTTTTTTTTACCAGGTCATTCCACAGTATATCAACTTTTAGAAACATATTTTGTATATTAAAAATCTGATGAAGGTAAATTCTAAGTTTATATATATTTTGTGATTTATCAAATGCATTAATAGTGTCTGCATAAAGGCTTAAGGTATGTCACTCTGTCAGGTTTTTTGAAAATTTTTCGTCAATTAATTTTCACTGTTATATTTGTTACTTATCAAAATTCGATTTTTATAACATTTTTGAGTATTTCAAAAGTTGTAAATTTTTTAACATGGGGATTTCTTGAAAAAGCGCCAAATTATCACATCTTTAAAATATTTTTTGTATTTCTGCCCTAGAGATTTCTTTTTCAGTCAAGTAGATGAAAGTTATTGCGAAAAGCCGCCAAATTTTGAAATTTCAAAAAAGTTGACCATCTAGGATTTAGGGATAAAATTTAATGTCCAATACCTCTAAAATTGCCATATTGCAGTATAAATACATATCGGTGCAGATAATATATCGGCGCAGAATATTCTTTTTGTAAAAAATAGCAATATTTAGATTGCTAATTTATATTTTTCTGTCATCAGTTTTAGTACAATATCCCGTCTTGAATGCTCAAACTTTGCAGCGTCAAAATTGCTCACAGCACTAAGAACAGTGGCGTCGTGAAAGCCATTTCCAGCATTTTTTTTCCTAATTGGTGTAGTAAAATCACATTTTTGACAGAAGTCGTTATTTCAATTTTAATTAAAATGACCCACAATATTTTTACTTC